CTAGCTCTCTTTGCCATCATCATCATCATCTGGATTGGCTCTTTATGGGCATTGTCAATGTCCCGGGACGCATTTGCATCGTACGGTTAATTGTGACCGCTATTTGTTGACCAATTGTGGGTGGCAGCCGCACCACAGAAAGACTGCAGCACCACCACTACCTTCTCACCGAATTCGGCTTGACTTGGCATTTTGCATATGCCGAATACCAAAATTGAGAACGGGTTTAGGTTTCCATTCTAGTTTATGTTTTTATCTAACTAAGGGTATTTGAGATATTTAGGGAAGAACGCTTTCTACAACTTTTCAGCATTCTAGACAATGTTATTAAATTTCAAATGGTTTTCGTAGTGGTAATTTTAAGCATCTCAATCATATAGCTAAAAATTGTTCAAATGGCACGTTCGATGCCGGAAGCTCTGTATATATCAGCTAAAGCTATTTTCTAAGGGTATACATAGTTTCAATTCCAAATTCTAATGCCTCCTTCTTTACCATTTGCATTTGCTACTCTTTTTGGTGGAACTCTCAGGCACTCTGATCCAAGTTCGCACAGGTGGCACTTGGAGTGGCGACACCGTAGAGGACTCCAGTGGTCGTGTCCTCCTGCGAGCTTTGCCCTCGTTAGCTCAGCACGTTGCTGTTGCAGCTAGCCGGATATCTATATATAGCCAACTGGTGTGATTTTGATTCATGGCGCGATTATATGTGCGCACGCAGTTTATCTTCTTTTCTTATTTCTCAGCTTGGTTTGGGTTTTCCCTTCATCTTCTCCTCTGAACAGCAGCACAGTAGCTTGGACCCAGCATGAAGGCTTGAAATCCGAACACTTACTGGAGGAGCCCCAGCGATCCTCCGATTCTTCCCTGCCCCTACCATGTGGCACTTAACATTTTATTGTTAATAAAATATATTACAAGGCGCAATACAAAAGGCCAACGCGGGTTCTGTGTCTGTGTGTGTGTCAGGGACTCGTTGCATTCAGGCCCAAATGCGTTAACGAAATCATCTACCACATCCTCCGGCCCCTTTGTGAGATCTCCTCTTGCTCCTTCAGGTGAAAACCCCCTCTTCGCAGCCTCGGTCGCGCCTGGAAATGTCGCGTGAGTTCGTGTCGTACATTTAACGCGTGACTTCTTTTGAAAATTGTTCATAAATTTTGCGTTTAACAGTAGCAGAAAGGCAACGGCAAAAAAAAACTAAACGAGAAGACCCACAAAAGTCAGTGGAATACAAGACCGTTGAAGGCTGCGGCCAAGGAATTGGGTAACTGAAATTATCGTAAATCTGAAAATGAGTCTAGAGGTTAACATTGATGCCCTTTAAAGGAAATCAAATTAAAACAGGAATTTTGATTAAAAATGATTTGATGATAAATCAGATTATAGAATAGATTAAAAACCTTTTTTGCCTTAAACATATCGATTAACAATGAAAATATTACAAAAATTGGCTTATATTTTGAGATCATAAAATATTAATCATTTGATAATGTGTACTGAAAGGCCTAAAATAATGAGATGGTAAGTTTATTTTCTCATTTTTAAACCTCTGGTCAACTCAAGTGCACTCCAAAAACAGCGAAGGGCATTACCGTTTCGCACCAGATTGTTGCATGGTTCATAATTTTGTGGCAACTCAACGAAAATGATTTCACAAATCCGACAGATGCAACCACGGACGACCACGGACCATGGCGACAAATAAAATAAATTACTGAATCTGAACTCATCGTTTCCCTGCCTTTCGCTTATTATAATGCAAATGCAATATATATAGAGGGCCATAAATTTATGCGAGCATTCGAGTATTTCTAATTAATAACACACTAAATGTAATCAACAATGTTAATTAGGCACATCCGCTGTTTGGTTTCATTCAGCGTTGTCACCTCCAAATCCCCGACCACAATTCACGTTCGTTTTCATTCATAAAAATCCGACACAGAGACTCTCTGTCACAGTTTTCGATTCGGTTTCGACTTCTGCCCACATGGCAAAATGTTGCTTGAGATTTGCATACATAGTTCGTAAGCCAAGTCAAGTGATCAGTGGTGGTAGCTGCTGGCTGTAGTAAAAAATAAGCCACAAAATCGTTAAAGATTTTGTGAGGCTTGTTTTTCGATCATTCAACGATTTTAGCCCGAGAATTAACTTTAAAACCGGTTTACCAGTTATGAAACTGTTTCAGTTTTATCGTTTTTGGGTTTTTTTGTGTTTTCTGTTTGTGAGTTTTTGGTAAAGTTTTATGAATGAAAGAGCGTAAAATTTGCATTTGAAACACGTGAAGTACCACTCGAGATTACTCATACGCCCCAGTGAACTTAAGAAAACGGAATAGCAATTCGGTTCCTAGGGAAAAAGCTGAGTCCACTGTGAATCAACATTTCACTGACAGGTGCGCCAAACTGATTCATCTTCTTGTTGTTCATTCAAATAAGCAAATGCGAATTATTATTAATTTATTATTTCCGGTGCTTTAAATCGTTGCCAAGCTCAAAGCGATAAATAATTTGTTTGTATAGAAAAGCAAACACCTCTAATGCTTTAAGCACTTGTCAGAGTGTATACTTTTTTTTTGCAAAAATGTTTTCTATTATCCCCACAAAAGGCGCCAATTATGTCGGTGGCGAAATGATACCTCAACTTTGCCAAATCACTAAGATCTGCCTTCGGTCCGCCTTTCCAAACAAAAAGCTTTAAGACGAGGTCAAACTCAAGCTGTGCAATCGACTGACCAACTGACTGACTGACGGCCACGATCTGGACGGATCGACGTTAGACAGGCAATTTGTAGACTTTTAAAATAGTTTCAAATGGAACACAGCCAGTCAGGCAGTCAGCCATTCAGCCAGCAGGCACTCCACCAGAAAACCTGTGCGCTGTCCGATCGCCAAAAGCGATTGACCACAACAATGAGGATTGGGACTGAGGCAGAACGAAGTGTTCTATACACTTTTCAGGATATTTTTCTTATGGAAAGCTTATATATAAGCAGTTTTTTAGGTATAGTATCTGATAAAGAAGATCTCTTGAAACACCTTTTTGGAAATTAAGAAAATCATCTAAAATCTACATCCCATACCACCTTCATCTCAAGTCTGAAACTCCTTCCTAAAAGTGTATAAAAAGCGCATGCAAATTAATAGCCAACTTTGGCCAAAAATTAATTGATCACTCGAGACAGGCAACAGCGGCCACATTGCAGAGATTGCAGACCAGACTTATAGACCTGACTATGTCTACAGATCGAACGATCGATGGCCGGCTGATCGCCGCGAATTATGTTGGTAAGTGCCCGCATATTCGAGCTGATCATAGACTTCCTGAGGTAGCCACCTCGATTAAGTTGGTGAAATGTTTTTTATTTTGTTGTTTTTTCATCTCCTCCATGAAACAAATTTCAATTAACATATTCACGCAATAATTGCAGGGGTCTCCGTCGGCCCACGTCGCTTATGGTCAGGCCCAACCCACGCTCGAATCCCCGCGAGACACGTGTCAAACTTCCGATCATTAGGAGGAGACAGCCGCTCATCGCACCACGCCCACTCGCACCACTGGATGGGCCCTAATTAATAAACAGACAAAACAATTTTAAAGCCCAAAATACAAAAGGAAAAGCCATTTCGAATTGATAAATTATCGAGAAATGCAGTTTAGCGTGTGCCTTAGACAAAAAGATATTGAGATTAATCATTGGACCAGGCCGCTCGTCATCATCATCCGATCAGATGCGTTGGCGATCCTCCACGGTAATGCCGGCTAATTAATGATGGCCACGCATGGAAAGCTATGAAAATGTCGTCGTATAATCCAGTGGGTCAATGGAAAAGTAAAAATAATAAAAACAAAGAGCTGGACATGATGGAATAGAGGATGGAAAATGTTTGTCAATTTGATGCGGTTACTGTTCGCTTTTAGAATTTATTTGGTGTTAGAATAATGAAAGGGATTATCGAAAGGAAAAATAAAGAAAAACAATTGCCAAAAGCTAAAAACTTCTAAGAAGAAAACCCTATCTAAACCTATTAACTGATATTAATACTTAGTTTATTGGTTGCCTTAAAGGTCAATGCTTTTAAAATTCATTTGTAAAAACTGTCAACTGCGAACATCAACGTAAATAAATTTTATTACATTTAATGATATTTAAAGTGCAATAATAATAAAACAAATAATAATAAAAGTTGATGTAAAATTTAATTTTCAATTTAAATGACTCGACAGAAGTTTTTTATTTAACAGAACTTAAAAATATATATATATCTATCTATATGCTTAACCATAATCTTCACAACAGGTTAAGCGATGAATAAATATCCCAGGCAATATCAATTTAGACTTCTGTTGGCTTCCACACCCACATCTAGTCTGGGCAATTGCCGTTGATCTTTGGCTTAGACCGGCTCATAATCAAGACACAAGTTTTAATTTAAATTTGCCCCAATGCCCATTTATCTCACAACTATCAAACAAACACAATGTTGCAAGATCGGATCGTTGGGTTTATGGCACACACAGACCTAAGTTGGCCAACTTTTGGCCCGTGGCCTAGACTTTATACCCCTTTTTGGACCCCGAAATCGGACACTACACAAATCTCCCGCAATTACAATACACTTTATAAACTTATTTTTCTTCTTTCATTGCGGGTCTTGTATTATCGTCTAATTGCATCGCCGACGCTCTTGGCATTTAGCGCGTCAACAAACGAGCCGCCAACCCCATGATCTCCACCCCCTCTTAATCCTCCTTCTCTCACACCTCAGCAGCGGTTCAAAGCTGAAAAAAAAATACCTATATTTAAGAGGAAAAACAACAGCAAGAGCAACAGCAACAACAACAACAGAGTGGACCGCAGGCCGTTCCATTCATCATTTTTCGTTTAGTGACGCGCGTGCCTCGTGCGCCTCAAATCGAGTGTTATTTTTTTCACAGATTTTCAAATTGAGACGTCATGAACTCTTGTCGGTTTCGTCGGATCTCCTCGGTTATGGTTAGGTTTATAATTTGTTTTTTTCTTTTACTTTGTTTTTCAGTTATGTTCGTGTACAACATTTATTGTTTCATAAGGCACTGCGGGCATGCAACTAACTCTAAGATAAAACATCGATGTGCTTACGTGTTTAATAGCGAGTATAAAACTGCGAATACTACAAAGATCAGTACAATAAGAAATACAACAGAAATACAACCGAGTTTTAAGCATAACTTAAAGATAAATAAGCTCTAAGATATGTTTCGTAATATATATATTAAAATTAATATCTAAACTAGAGATAAATTCGAGTGGTTGCTAATTTTTGGTTTTACGCCTTTGGTGCAATTTTGGTAAAGTTTTCAAAAGATATACGGACTAAACTAGAAGCTATATATGTACATAAATTCGATTTCAGATAGATATTCGAAGGATTTATACTATAATATACTTTCAGAGAAACCTTAGATCTTTCAAAGATGTTGATGGGATTAAAACAAATTTGAAACCTATTTAAATAATCTCAAGTTGACGTTTAAATTCTTTGATCTTTTTTTTTTTGGAAATTTCCAGATTATAGAAGTTTTATCTAGTAACTACACCACTTTTGCAGATGGTCCGTTTCCTCTTCCTCCTCGTCGCTTGTCGATGGCGGTGTATCCAGATTGGCTATATCCACATCCAGATAATCCTCCTTCGTCTGAAGCAGCTTGTCCATATACTCTACGATCTCCGTGAAAGGTGGCCGATCGTCTGCGTTGAAGTGCCAACATTGTCGCATCAGAATGTAAATGTTCATCGAGCACTTTGCTGGCTTCTCCATCCGCTGACCGGACATCAGATATGTGTAGAGCTCCTCCGCGGACATGATAGTCGGATACGGTTGTTGGCCATATGTCATGATCTCCCACAGCAGAATGCCGTATGACCAGACATCGCTCTTGGAATCGTAGAATTTCTCTTGCAGAGATTCCGGTGCCATCCATTTGATGGGTAGCCTACCATTCGTGTTCTTTCTGTAGTAATCTGTGCTCTGGATATCCCTAGCTAAGCCAAAGTCGGCAATCTTTAAGACCAAGTCATCGCTAACCAGGACATTTCTGGCAGCCAAATCTCTATGGATACATCGCCTTGAGGCTAAGTAATCCATTCCCCTGGCAATTTGATGGGCGAACTTGATCAGATCCTTTTCGGTAATCATATAAGCTGGTGGTGATGGAGGGGGTTGTGAACTGTCCCTATCCAAATCCCTTCCAAAAGGACGATTCTTGTACAAGAAGTCCTTGAGATTTCCATGGGGTGCGTACTCAACGATCACATAGAGTGGACCACTTTGACTGCAGCAGCCCAATAGGTTAATAATATTGATGTGCCGACCAATGATCTTCATGACTTCCATTTCCCGCACCAGACTGGCAATGTCGTCATCCGTGTGTCCTTCCTTAACCATTTTTACAGCCACAATGGCATTATTAACCTCCGCCATGACCACACGACCAAAGGCACCTTCACCCAAAGTGGCTCCGAGTACCAAATGATTCCTTGGCAGCTCCCAATTGGAATCCAATGGAAATTCATACTCATTAAAGGGAGCCGGTTCATTGCCATTTTGGAGGACAGTGGTTCGTTGTTTTTGTATCCTAACCACCGGCATGATCATGGTGTCCATAGAACCACTGGAATCTCCGCCACCTTCAGGTTTGAAAATGATCACTTTTTTCGTCCACTGGTGAACCGTTTCTATCCTTTGTTTCAGCACCTTTTCATGTTTCATCTTACGTAAGGCGTAGAAGACAAACAGCATGGTCATGATGATGAAAATAATACCGCAAAAGACAAAGATGTACACGAAGTAATTGGAATGAAGGGGTCCACTGGCCACATTGATCTCCGGAACATGTTTAGTTCGCAACACCTCCAGATAGGCCGAGCTATTGGAATGGCCCAAACTATTGCTTTCGACGCAGGTGTACCAGCCCTCTTGGTCCATCGTTACATTCACGAAATCCAACTGATCCAGTTCTTCGGCTACGATTCTCCGGGTATTGGAACAATTGTGTATTCCCTTGCAGGGCACAAACATCCAGGCTTTCGTACTGGTCAAATCCGATAGATATTCACACTTCATGGTGCCATTTTCATTGATAACAAGTGAGAGATTCTTGGGCGGCGTTGTCAAGATGGGCCTGTGATTAACCCGATCGGAGACGATCACCTGAGTATCGTGGCGTACGCAACCCAATGAGTTGCAAGCCTTGCAGGAATACTTGCCACAGTCACCTGGCACCAGATCTTCCATAGTTAAGGACCAGCGATTCCGTTTGACGGTTCCATAGCCGCGAATCCAGTCAACGGTATCATTGCGATACCATGTAATATTCGGTTCTGGATTGCCAAGGGCATGGCAAACTAGGGTGAGCAGAGTGCCCGAAGGACGCGTCTCCAGAAAACGCATCCTCTTGGGATACCGCCAATATGGCTTTGACATTACACTTTCCGGCAAAACGGCCTTTTTATCATCATCATCCGCATCTCCATCGTCCAGATCCGCTGTTGTTTGATTCGTTTGATTGGTATTATTCGTAGATCCAATATTTGCCCTAGAATCCTTTAGTATCTCCGTACTATTGGCCATTTGTCGTCTTCCCTCAACTTGCGACTGCGTTTGCCAATTTAAGAGGAGCAATAGAACGAAGAACGTTCCCAGTGATCCGTTCGTCATTGTGTTCGTTGAGTGACTGGCTCGCCAACTCCAGGCAGCAGCCATTTTTAGGATATATTTATTTTTATAACTCTTGCCAGGCAGGCGCAGTCAGGCAGGCAGCACCCTCAAAAGTGCCACAATGGCAACAACTGCAACTTGAACTGCAACTGCAACTCCCTTGTCGGAGTTTGTCGCATGTGCTGTTGGTTTTTTATTCACCGGAAATCCACTTTAGAGTACTCCGCTCTCTCGCTTTCTATATAGACTGATCTATCTCCCTTTTTCGCTTACGCCGGAAGAAGACCGTTGGTGGTGATCTTCTAGTTTCTAATTTATAATAGAAACAACAAGAACAACAGTTGCCTCTTTAGTGCAACATGTGTGCGCCTTTGAAGTGATCCTCCACTCCACGCCACTCCACTCCCCTGCGATTGCAATCGGATGCTGTTTATGATGATGTTTAGGATGATCCTCTTGATGATCACCTATATCTTGTTGGTGTAACGGAAATACTTTCCCCTCGAAGAAAAAAAACAATGCCGCCCGGCTTTTATAATTATTGGGGGCGGTCGGTCGGTCGGTCGGTGTGTGTGATTTACTCAGTGAGTTGATGGATTTATGGCAGCCATATCTTGTCACCAAAAAGAGCTCCACTCGTGGGCGTGGATGATCGCAGGTTCCATAGATCATTCAACAGCTTCTGGAGGGTGGATTCCTCTGGATCGTGTTTGATGTGACTGCAACACCTGGAAGAATGCGTACGATTAGATTTATGATCACATCCGTTGAGTATATTAGAAAAGATATTCTTAATAAGATTTTTAAAAGATATACCAAGTGCAAAAGAAAGGCCTATTAGGAAGTATACAAGATACATCCGCTTCAGTTCTTTGAGTCAATGAATTTCCTTTCCATTTTGTTTATTGGCAACTTTTTTGTATATTAACTTTTGAGAATTTTTTGCTGAGATTCTTCTTTTTTTTTTTTTGGTCTTGACTCGATTAAAGGCCATTTCCATTTGGCGAGCTTAATTAAAATGTCGCGCACATTTCCGGTAACTTGTTCAACATATTTCTCATATACCCATCACTGATTTTTGTCCAGCGCGTGCCATAAATTAAAAACGGTCCAGAGGAATGAGCTCTGAGAATGTGCGGCAAGTAAAAACAAATACTTTGGGGGTTTTCATCTTTTACGCGTTGCACACTTTATCGATTTTGAAAATAGCTTTATGGCCGTGGGGCACATAAAGATTTTTCGGCTGGCACTCTTTTAATACCGCCATAAAATTGGCTTTTACCTTTTTGCCAAGAAAAGAAAACTCTTTTCAACTTGTTGTCAGTTTACTTTACGATGCGATTCTATATATACTCGTAGATATACTCTATAAAGGCGCCCTCAAATATAGTTCTATTTTTTGCACAATTCTCCGACGGTTTCACTCACGTTTCTCCCTTTCTCTAGAGGGGTTGAGAATATATATTTTTTGCGCTTTTGTAAATTCTGAATTTTCACGGAGCTAAACGAAAACTGTTCCAAATTGGTCTGAGTAGTCCGATGTACTGAATATGCCCAATGCCAATTCCGATTCCCAGTGATCGCGCATGATCCCGCTCTCTCTTATTTCTCCGGCACTCTCTCTCCTTCTCTACCCGTATCGCCCTTCTCTCTCTTGCACTATCTCTCCCACATAAATGTCCTACTCAATGCGCCGGCGTCGGATAAGAACGACTCAATTTAGTGGGCCCCCGAGTTGCTTCCACTTTTGCCGTTATATTTCCAATGCCGATTACCCTGGGATTTATTAGGTAGAAGGGTATATCTAGTAGAAGAAAATATTAAATTAAACTCATTGTTTTAAGTAAACTTTGATTTCAAGATTCATGATTCTATGAGTTTTATTTTTTTTTTTTTTTTAAAGATCCTTTAAATAATATTTTCTTAAGACGTCTGATTTTTTTCATATTCCCTGATGATTAAAAATTTCTTTTGATTTTTCGTATCCCAAAAAATTTGGCTAACAAAACTAAAATATTTTTAAAAACAGTTATTTAAATTTATGTTTTTTGCCTAAGGGGTATCCTATAGTCGAAATATGGAAAAAAAAGTCTCCTTCCCATTATTGTTGTGGTTGTGTTTTGTTGGTCGTTGCCTTTAGCGTCCCGCATCTTTTCGCTTTCAACGGCAGCCTTAATTTTTCACATATGCTCGCCCCATCTCGCTCAGTGTCTCAGTATTTCTCCTGTTTTCCACCGAGCATTTCTCTCATCTTTAATTAAAACAGACACAGTTTCTCTCTCGCTGTTCTACTGATCTTTCCAGTCACATTCAGCCCACATCTGGCGGCCAGCAACAACAACAGCAAAACAAAAAATTAAAGAAATTAAAAGCAACAAAAATAACGGCCGGAGAGACTACTGTGTTGTCTGTTGTCTCTGTTCTCCCGCCCCCTGGGACACGCCTACGTCCAGAGTCGGAGACAAGGGCAAATATTGTTTCGGTTTGCATTTGGTGCCTATATTGTTGACTGCAACATGTGGGCACATCATCAGCATCGGCATATATATGGTATATATACATGCATCTACCTCAGATCGTGCCACATGTGTTGCACAGACATTGTCGTCGTCGTCGGTTCTCCATGGGGAAGTCGAAAAACGATTCCCGCGAGAAAAACGTCGACGGGATGATGGGGTTATCCAAAATTTTGACTTCCAGGAAGGCAGCCGCCAAATCGGAAACAGCCAAAAATACCCAATAAAAAAAAACAATAATTTTCCTATCTCCCGCCGTCGGATTGACCTTCACCTCCATCGAAATGGATCGCAGATTTTAGTATATTTCCTGTGTAGCCCAAAAACCAACGAAAATAAACAAACAGTGTGCGGAAAGTATTTGCAAAGTATATAAACAAAGCATACATCTCCTGGCGATTTGAACCGGCGGTCACTTTGGCATTCATTACATTCGCACGGGTTAAACCCAATTGACGCACTTGGTAACCCCGCCATCATCATCCTCCCAGTGTATGAGTGTATTCCATACCAAGTCGAGACCGGCACGAGTCTGTAATTTCGCACGGCTCGTCGGCAGGTTACAGCCATCTCTCCATCCGTCCATTCATCCATCCATCCACCATATGCCACTCGGTACGTGACAGTGAGAAGGTTGGATGCCATGGGGGCAGCGAAAAGAAGCAGATGGAGCCAAAGGCTGACTTTATCAGAAATCTAAACTATATAAGTTTATAGTCATAATGAAATATAAGAATTTTAATATTATTTCCACTTCCTGTAAATATTTATACAGATTATATGAAAATGATGTACTATTAATTTTATTTCATTCAAGACAATTTGATTTTCCCCTTAACTTTTTCATTTCCGAGAATGTTTACTTAGGTTTGTTTACACCTTAGAATATTTGCAAATATATAAAATAGAATTAAGAGTTAAGTCATTCATCGAGAAAACAATATATTATATGTATACAAAACTTCCCAATAACATAAACTAAAAGTCTGAATTTCAAGAAATGGAAAATATTAAAATATATTATAAAAACTTTTTGGTAATTCCCAGAATCTCAGATCTGATTAACAATAATGAATTCTTACTTTTACCCCCAAAGATCAAAGAAACAACCCGATACTTATAGGTAGTACCACCTGGTATAGTAACAATACCAGGAATCCACCGCATAATTAGCTAAACAAACCTAACCTTAATTATCATTCATAAGTAAGATGGCAGAGCGGAGAGGTACAAATTCAAGGAACATCGATCGTCAGGGAGCAAATTGAGTGATTGCCAAAGGCAACAAAACAGAAGTCGAGTCGGCGAGAAGATGGCATCGTAAAGCTTCCACGACCGACAAAACAGATACCCGATAAATATATACAAATGGCTATAGCCAAGTATATACACACCGACCGATATATAGAGCAAGTCGGACAAAGAGCAGACAAGTTGAAATGTTTGTTTTTGCGGCTAGAAAATATTGCATGTTCCCTCTACAAGCAAGATGCTGTTTTGTTGGTTAATAAACAAAATCCCATAACCTAAACAGTACAAAAAAATAAAAAACGAAATTATGAATTTGAATTATTTTCTCAGCTCTGCCGCTCAGTTAGGTTGTAAAAACAAATAAATAAATATAAATTAGAATGGGAACCCTGTGGAAAAGTGCTTTCAATTTGAGCATGAACCATAACAGAAAAAAAACGTATTCTATGGGGCTTTCAAATTCAGAACTGGCCATATTCAGTTTTTTATGGGGTAGCCAGAGAACAGATAATTGAACGATTGACTACACACACAGCTGAGATAAACGACACAAATTGCTTTGGTTCAACAACATGGAACCACGGCACATTTTACACTTTTTGGCCTTTGGGTGAAAAGTCAAATTGCTCGGTGCGGTCAATCAAAAAGTAGACCAAACAAATAATTTGCTCAATTACGCAAAATAAAAGCAAAATGCGTTGCATATACATAGGTATGTACTAAAAAGTAACAAAAGCACATATATATTTTTAAAGACTTACCTCACAACTTGTGTTGCTGCAAAACAGAAAAGCTTCTTGCCAAATAGTCCCCAATATCCCCAATAATATTGTCTCTGCGTTGGAATTTTTCTTTCTCGCCTTCGTTTAAATTGTAAATGTTTCACCAAAAACCACAATTGAGAAAGTTCATAGAATTCGAGAATGTTTCCACTTAAAATTCTTGAAATGTTTTTAGTACGTATTTATATGGCACTTAGGCACTAGAAAACAGAAGTAGAAACTGCTGCACACTTGACTCTGCCGCACTCTTCTGCCTCTCGTTCCGAATGTGTTTACACAGCGCGGTATTTCTAATTATTATTAACAATAATTATTTAGTGATATTGACCGATCGATCGTATATATTTCCCGTTTCTCTGTCGGTGTTTCCTCCGATTTTCCAACTGCAACGGCACTCGAACCGATCGCAACTGAAGCCAAAACCGAACCGAAATGAGCCAGAGCTCTGCGAAATAAATCTCTTCAATTGAATGAGGAGGGAACACAAATGAAACGAATTCATATTCCCCCCATCAGAATACTGGAGAACACATCTCTGCAACGTATTTTCGCGGCAGCCGCATAAACAAATACAGAAAACATACAAAATTGAACGGAACGCCAGCCACACATTGTACACACACAGCCCATCGAAAGAGAGGATGGGTCGAACAACCGGGGTATTGTATGGTATATGGTATATGGTACTATATGGCATAGGGGCTATAGGGGGGTATACACACATGTGTATATCTGAGTGGCGGCCTTCCCTTAGAAAGTGAAATGTAATTGAGTGCAGAGACCGGAGACCGCACTCGTTCTAAATTCGTTCAATTGAGTCAAATGAAATATCTCAACGTTGTTTGGTCTACGGAACTTGTTGCATAGTTTTGAGCGCGCGGGAATAATTCATGAATATCATTATGAGGGTGGAAAATACTAGGTAAAGCTTTTAACAGATCTATTGTATTACGACCTTATGATGACATTACGCATTGACAGAAGAATGCGTTTAATCATTTCAATAAATAATATATTAGATAACAATTTTTTACTAAACTCTTATTTACTCCAAAAAATGCTTAGTTTTTACCCATAAAGGAATTTCTCTTTCTAATGTTTCTCCGCAAGCTATATTTTTAATTTAGCCACTTACTCTTTACCACTTATCAATTTTTAACAAATATTTAACAATTTAAAAAGAGATATTTGGGGGAAAAAAAGCTATAGGCATTTCTTCACGCTTCGATCGAGGTGGAAAATCCGGAATGGGATTCATTAGCTGGCACAATAGCACACTAAGTAAGTTAGCAGTTATTAATTATGGGCTACTTATAGTAAATGCCAAATGGCCAGAGGCAGCGGCACAACCAGTAGCCAAGTTAAGATATAAGAAAGCCTCTCTAATGAATGGCACTAGAGGAGAAGCTCTAAGCTATCAAAGCACACACGCTGTGCGCGAAAGACAATGGGACATCGTTTAGCGTTTGTCTCTATGGAGACCCCAAAAAAGGGTTAAGCAAACAATGGATTTTTAGGGGGTTCTTTGGCCGAAAATCGAAAACAGTTAACGATTATTGACCATCAATTATCATAGGGATAGGCTAGGGGTAAACGGAGCCCGTTTTGTGCCAAATGGCGTTACGGCTGACTGATTAATCGATGCTGTTGGATGGTATGGGAGGATCCCCATGAGTGGTTAGCATAGTTTCAACAGTTAACAACCTCGTAAAGCTAGAGGATCCAAAGGGGAACACTCGGGGTAGCAACCAAGCCAGCAGTATGGTCATAATACTTAAATTTTATGCACTCCTGGGCAAACCTCCTGGCTGTGGCACCCAAAACTCCTCGGGCTGCCGATTCTCAGCTTCCGTATGGCTTTTCAATTTGGCCAGAACGAAACGCAAGTTGTTAACGTTACGAACATAGAAATAAATATTGGAAAATTGGCTCAAAGTCTGGACGTTGGCTTTGGCCATTTGGCTATGAGAAACTAAGGAATGGGAAATGGAAAAATCGGGAATCGGGGACCGGCTTTTGGAGACACGATCATGCCGGCAGGCCGAGTTGGGCGACACGATCTGCAACCATCTCGCAGAGATCTCGTGCAGAGCAGCCAAACAGCATAAAGTTAATTGCTAATATGATTAATTGCACATTAACATGAATTTTTATAGCCAATTATATGCGAAATATGCCAATGAGAAACTTTTTCGACCAGCAAATTAAACATCCCAAAAAAGTCTTAAAAAATATTTCTTGTAGATAACTGCTGGAACTTATTGAAGTGCAATAGATAAAAAAGACAGGTCTTTGATGCTGTCATGGGCAATAAGGAAGAGTAATATATTAAAGTGATCAGTTTCGTTTCGATAGTTATTAAATCAATGTATGAGCTAAAAAATAAACGAAATATTATTACAAATTAAATAAGGAAGTAGTTAAAAAGTAAGTTAAAAGTTTCTACCTAAGGAAAATAAATACTTGAAAATAATCTATAGAAACAATTTATAAATCTATTTCAGCACATTCTTGAGTAGGACTAGCCTTCTCTTAGCCCAAGCGAAATAGCTTCACCATATCTTAAAAAACCCGCTTCCAAACCAGACCAATTCCATACCTGATCTTCGATAATTTATGCATAAACTATGCGTGGCAATTGCCAATTGGCATCTTCCCAATCCGAGTGGGCTGCTGCCAGGCGAAATTATGCGGGTGTGTTTGCATTTGCCACAAGAAAAAAAATAAATAAATAAATGAAAATGCAATAACCCTCGAGACAGACGGAAAACAAGAAAATCAAAAACCCAAATCACATTTCCAATCACTCAAAAACTATTGGAGGAGATTCGAATTTGAATTATTGGCTCCACCTTGCCTGCACCGCGGCATTTCCGGTCTTAAATCTTTAAGCGCGTGAGCTAATCATAACTTACAATGTGGTCCAGCAATTTGACAGGCGGGTTGCTGGTTGTTGCCTTTTTAGCCTGGCTTTTTAGCCCCAGCCCCAGTTGGCCAGTTGCTTGGTTGGCCACGACTGAGGATCATGGATCATGTGGGGCTAGAGCTAGAGCTGGAAGTTGAAAATTCGTTGCCATCGTAGAGCTCGGGGCTCGGCAAGCTGTGCGAGCTGTCAATGAACTTGTAGGCTCTTGATTGATTTATATTGTGCTGGCTAGATGATGTATCTTTGGATCTATGGTAAATCAGCTTAAGCAGCCGGCGATCGCTGATCGGCAATGTACGACCGTTGATATCTTGCTTTTAACACGACTCTCGAAAACGAAACGAAACCCAAATGGAAACCAAAACAAACCATCCAGAAATCTCGATTCTCGAGTCGGCGAATCTAATGAAAGGTGTATTAATTATATTAGATATCCCAGGCAACACGATCTTCGCTGTTCTTGGCTACTGTTCAAGATCTGGCTCTAAAGTGGTTTTATCTTTTTCCCCTGTTCTTAACCAAGGGCCTTAGCCTCCGTCGCGGTCTAGGCCATAATTTAAAGCTGGCTTTTAAGAGAGTTGGGGAGAAATCAAGGGGCGGGGGCAAAATGGGTTGAAGCGGCTAAAACTGGCGCTTAAAAGTGCGTTTAAACAGACCTTTCGGCCGGATTGGGCTTGGCGTGCGGGCGTGGCCTTTTTATATATTCCTTGTTTTTATTTTTTTTTTTTTATATTTTCTTAGCCCGGTCCCCATAATCCCTAATAATAATCATGTGCTGTAATTGACGATTTATGCTAAGCCCGATATAATTTACGCCGTTGGAAACACTGAGGCCTCACCTCAAACCGTTGAGCAGGAGGCGGAGAAGGAGTATCGCATAAATCATAACTGCACCTGGGATAGCTGAAGGAACTGGAACCCTGCGACTCTGTGATCCAAGTGCCGGCTACTGGCCATGGCAGCATTGGCTTATTGGCCTGGACCGATGGCTCAACAAATATTTCCCACACACGCCGGCGTCGGTTACATGGGCCAAAAGCATGGCAGTACACTGGCATACACGTATGTCGGGCAGGTTACACACAATGCAAATGCGTTCGCATAAGTCAGTTAAGGTAATGGCCAGAAAATCAGGAAACGAAGTGGTTATACTCTTTTAGAGATATTCTTATAGAGATATGAGAATAAAGTTGCATTGTCATTGAAATGATCTCGAAATTTGTAGGAATTTGTTTTCTTAATCAAAAACTTTAGAGTTACATATCTTGTTTACGAAATCATTCCTAATTAAGGAAAGATATATAAATTGATTCCCTCACTGATCCCGAAATCATTTTTTATAGATTCAAATCTGCCAAAATTCGAATTGATTGATCCATAGACCAACACTTTTAGATACTTTTACCATAAAAATATATTTCTTTTCCTAATTTGATATTCCCTTAATCATATAGCATTAATACCCTTTCCCAGCACAAAGTGTACTCAAAAGTGTTGGCACGCAAATTTATTGTTGTCGGTTGTCGGTCGAACCGCCGATTTGCGATCCATTCCGCAAAAGGCTACCGTATTTGATCTTGGCCTCCTGCCCCCAGACTTCAATGATCCCCAGCCCCCGGGACCACCGCCACAGCCACTGGAGGGTAGAAGCGGGAGAAAATCTTTTGGAGCTGCGTGCCAGTGCCAGTTTGTCTGGCATTTGGGCAGGCCTTCCAAAAACGTCGCTGACATAACTGTACCAAACCGCCGAGCGGTCTTGCGTGGTGTGTGGTTGGCTGGTGGCTTTTTTTTTTTTTATTTTTTTGAGAACCACTGCTCGACGGCAGCCCCAGATTTCGGCTAACGTCGCTGTTTTTGGCATCAAACACATGTCGAGGCACATGAAAGGATCGCTGACTGGATCGCGGACCTGGAATCTGAATCTGAATCGGTATCTGAATCTAGTGGATATATGGTGGTGCCGGTGGATCGGGTCTAAGGCTTTGCATGTTTGGCGTTTCAATGCGCATTAATTTTGCATAGCCGGCCGTTGTTGTCGACACGAATGGCTATGAAAGGTTAATAAATCAAATGCATATGCATGGGGACAGGGTCTGCACCTGAGATCCTGGCATGCGACTCTTAGCATTTTTCGTTTTTGTTTTTCTTTTTTTTTTTGCTTGCAGGTTTATGCGTTTATAATTTCCTCAATGACCGTTTATGGCCATTCCTACGGGCAATCAAAATCAGCGCCTTTTGTGACCGAGCCGCATTAACACCAAATTAAGTTCGGATTTTTATGGCCAGCAAAGGAAAAAAGGAAATTGGGTCATCTCTTCATAGGAGCTGAAGCTGCAATTTAGTTTACGATTCACCGATGGGCAAACTTGAATGAGTTATAAGCCACGCCGCTTGGATGCTCTTAATCTGATTTTTACGACCCAGTTGGACGACGATGACTGCCGGCTTTTGTTACGCCGATCACGTACTAGGATTAATCACTAAATTAATTGAAACAATTTTCTAGCATGGCTGACAACAGCAACAGCAACAACAACAGCTAGCTGTCTGGAATACAGCGCCACAAATTAATCAGGCGATCTGTGATCTCAAGAGAAGAGGTTGATCATGATCAGTGAT